TTTGTAGGATAATGAGAGAAACTACATACAAAAATTAAAACACACACAAAGGGGTACTGAAAAGTTCTTACCCATTTCCTAAAGTTAGTATTTAAATGACCATGGAACTCTCTTCTGAACTCTTACTTACAGTCAACTTTGATATTCAGAAATTTAAATGCAATGTCAATCATTATCATCTGTCTTATTAATTCTTGTTCTTTTATTGTTCTCTCTCCTTAATAATTTTTCCTTTTTCTCATATTGTTTTATACTTAGTACCCCGCCCCCACCTCTGCATCTTAACGGTTTCATTGCCTTGCTTAGGGTGAGAGGATTAAAAAGAAAATAATTTTGCAAAGTGGACCAAATCAAAAACTTTTCAACACTTCATTCTATCTATCTATCATTGTGTGTGTATATGTAACCACTATAATGTAATTTTGAGCATGTTGCTCAACTGCTTTCTTGAGAATTTATAATGCTCCATAAGTTTTCTATGGGGTTGAGGTGAGGAGATTGGGGTGGCCATGTCATAACACTCACCTGCTTCTCATCAAAGTATTCCTTCATCAATTTTCATTTGTGACAGGGAACATTATCCTGCATAAAAATGAGCTTGGTGGGGTCGATTTGCACCCTTTCAGCAGAAGGGAGCAGAAAAGACTCTAAAATTCTCTTGTATTGCTCACTCCTGAGGGTCTTTTCAATAGGTTTCAAGAAACCAGTTCCATGAAAAGAAAAGCATCCCCAGAACATTATACTGAACGGATGCTTGACAGTACTTACTACTAAATTCAAAAAGCTTTCAAAGCTTCTTCTTTGGATTTTAGATCGCTTATCCTTTGAATTTAGCTGAACTTTTGTTTCATCGAAGAAGAGAACATTTAGTAAAAAATATCAGGTGAGTCACTTTTATCGAACAGCATTATATATATATATATATATATATATATATAAATCCGTAGGTAAATAATCAACGTGAATCCTAACAATATAAAATATTAAAATTGATCCACAAAGAGAGCTCAATGTATTTATTATAACAGCATATATAAATAAATAAATTACATATAAGAGAAATTCAAAAAGTTAGGAAATAATCCCTCGGTGTTGACAAATCCTGCAAGGTAGTTCTTGTGGGGTGAAATAGCTATACAAATGGGGCATTTTTTAATTTCTCTTATATGTAATTTATATAATATATATGAGTAAAAACAAAAAGAAAACTTTTCTTCACCAACATGATTTGTCATCTGATGAACTTTATCAAAGTAAATGTAAGGATTTTATGCAACATGTGTTCATAAACAGAAATAAAAATATTAGGTTTTCAAATTTTTTAGATTTAAGAATGTTCAAAAATATTCTTAAGGCAAACTGTGAAGGTAAATTTAAACTATGGGGGATAGTAAGTGATGTAAAAATGTTTTATCACAAAATTCTTCTTATTTTGTATACATAGATGATACTCTATCTGCATGACACAATTTTACCCAATCTTGTAAACAAACTTAATAGTGTTGAACCCACAACAGATTTTACTTTTGAAACTGAAACTAACAGCACTTTACCCTTCTTAGATATCATGCTACATAGAAACAATAATGACCTTCAGTTAAAATTTGGCAGAAAATCTACCAACAAGAAAGAACTCATAAATTCTTATTCTCACCACTGTAGCAGAATAAAATCTGGAATAATCATAAGATTTTATTTAAGAGCACTAAGAATCTGCAGACCACCATTATAAATAATGATGATGACATTAATAACAACAACAAATTAGATAAAAACAGTCATATAATATTACCTACTAACTCCTTAACATATATCCAACACAATTCATCCAATCATAACAATATCAAGATAATTACAACCACGTCCAAAACTATTATGGATATGATCAGAACCAAAAATGTCCATAACAATTCTGAAGCAGCTATATATAAAATTAACTGTCACAATTGTTCCTTATGATATATTGTGAAAATTTGCAGAAATTAAAAAAAATGTATTTATGAACACAAAAATGATCTTGTACATAAAATTTATTAAATCTATTAGTCATACATAGAAATAAATTACATCAAAACATTGATCTAAAGAATGCCATACTTATTAAAAAAGGAAATAACTTAGATGGAAAGTTCTTGAGAGTGCTGTTAAATTGAGTCTTGCCAAAATGTTAACCTGCACACTGGAGTTTTTCAAATATCTCCTTTCTTAAAAGAAATACTTCTTTTTCAAGCCAATATACGTAACCATAATTTTTTTAAAAGAAAATGGTTAAATCAAAAACTATCATTTAAAATAAAAAAATAATTTATGAAAATTAAAATAAAATAATAAATAATAATTACATTAATATATTAAAAAGTAAATAAATAAATCTATAAAGACAAATAAGAAAATAAAAAATTCAATAGCAGTAATGATATTTTTTTTTGTTTAGAAATACATCTTGCAAAATTCATTACATTTAGCATTGGTAAAGAAGTTTTCCTTTTGCCTTTATTCATATTGTCTTATTATAGATATATTTTATTTATATCTGAATTTATATATATATATATATATAAAAGCAATTAATGGATTTTTTTTTCAACCAATATTATTTCTTATTTCTATAAATGCCATATTTAGTAGGTATACATGTTTGAATAGACATCCCTGTTTTTTCTTTTTTTGCATGTTTTTGTTTTTCCCTGTTTAAAAAAACAGGGAAATTAAAATCTACCATTCTTCTTACCAATTAAATACAAAGGGAATGAGAGTGATTCATCACTGTGTATATAGCATGGTGTGACCTAGCTGTAAAGGTCTGAACTGGTGGAACTAAGGAATGTAGCTCGACTGAACATTTGCCATGGAAATAGAAATAGAGTAACAATAGGCTTGTGATGTTTAGGAGCAAAGCATTTCTCCCAAGCATATCTACCAAATGGATGTTTCCTCAACAGCAATCACTGAAGTCCAAAATTGATCTAGAAGTTTCTTATATTTTTGTATTTAAACTTCTAAGGTTTTTGTTTTTTACTATTGTTTGAACTTTCGTGACTATTTCTTTCCTAATTATTTTTTTAATGACTGCTAATCTCTGTTATGCCACACCAGTGAGTCCATGGTAAAAAAGACGAGGATAACAGGTGGAACAAAAGTTTGGTTCAGTGGTGTCCATTGTATAGCAAATGCAATAGGGTATATATTTCTTTAGGCTCTTGTTCTCCAGACATTAGTTTCCCTGTTTAATCTCTATTATAAAAGAAAAGCTGACCCTCTGCCTTTCACACTTTGTGTGTGACTTTTTGTGCACATATGTAATGCACATGCACACTCATGCACACAAGTGGAATGAGTTAAAAATGCTACTATTAATTTTTTGGCAAAAAAAACATTTTTTTTTAAACCCTAAAATAAAAATCAGATAATTATAAGAGTTTATTTAACTTTTCAGAAATCATTTGATAATAAATAAAATTAGTTAAAAAAAATTTTTTTTTTAATTTGTAAAAATATTTTTAGGTCAGTCAGTCAGTTATGTGCCATGCATGATACATGCTTAGGCGATCATGTATCTTTCGATACATGACTGACAAGGCAGATTTTTTTTCCTGCAGTACGTTGCCATTTTTTTCTATGCTAAGACCAGTTGCCATCCAAGGCTATAGAACCCATTCTGTCCTGTTATTTACCCATAGCTGGAGGGAGAAGAGGAGGATTCATACCTTTCCCAAGGGTATTAGCACGTAAGTGAATGTAATGGATTCGACTGGAGTTCGAACTCTGCTCTCCAATTCCTCAATCAGAGCTGCTATCCATTACTCCGCTATGCCTTTAGTTCTATCACTGAATTAAAATACACACATCATTTGAATGAAACTGAAATGGGCATCTGTATCACAAGGCTAACCTCTGTGTAACAGGAAAAAGAGTATAAGCTTAAATGTGCAACACTTTGAAGTAATTTTTATGACTTCATCTGCATTTAAAAGGAATATATTTTGTAATATATGTTTGTCCATTCAAAATAGTACAGTATAGATTTGAAATTGGATTATTTTACAATCAGCAAGTGACAGAAAAGAAAAAACTGGGATTTACATGTACTCACTAAAATATGTTTATAGTAATAAGAAATTGTTATGGTAATTTACCCATACACATATGGACTTTACTAGCTATAAATAGGAGCAGGTACTGCCTTTTGGAGAAGGTAGTTTCCAGCAGTCAGCTCTATCAGTTGAACTGAACATTCTTGCTGTATCACTCTCGTATATGTTTGTATTACTGTTCTGTTAATATATTTGTTTAACTCAATTCCTCTCGTGTCTTTATTTCTGACCCTAACAAGGCCAGAACAGAAATATTGCCAGATTAATAAATATATCCACTAATAACTTAAAAATGACTTTGTTTAGGTTTCAGATACCAAAATAAAGTTTGCAACAAAAGGTCCCAATTTAAAATATGCATTCTTAAATAGAGTAATTAAGTCTTCTTTACTATGATAGCATCCCATGGCCTAATGGTAAAGCACACTTAAAAGTGGTTTCCCTGATGGAAAAAGGAATACAAGCTTGATTTCTGTTATGAACATTTTCTTTAGATTTTCAATCTCATGGCCAGTATACATTAATTTCACTGTTTAATTGAAAAGAAAAAGTGATGTTTACTCAAACATGTGTGCCCACTAAAATATAATGTTATACACACATTTTGTTTTATATATATATATATATATTGATAACTACTACTACTACTACTACTACTAGTTGCTAAAAGTATATTTTTTCAATTAGTTTTTATCTATAAAAGCCATGTACTTTTGTAGGTATCTTGTTTAACAAAGTTGCACAATTTAAGCAGAATTAGGTTCCATTTTGCTGAAGGATATTTTTCATTAAACTGCTTCATGCTGATAATTTATGTGTCGGAAACTTATACAGTTTTTGTAAATGTTTTGATTAAGTACGATCTATTATTATTGTTTTTTTTTTGTTTTTTTTTTAAATTTCCAGCTCTGTGGGCTACCCGTGACACGGAAGAAACCAAGGGCGACCGTGAACTTCACGTGAAGACCACATTAAGAGAATTAATCATATACATCGTTTTCCTGTCTGTACTTTGTGTTAGTAAGTATGATTTCTGTACTTGTAAAAAGATGGACTTTGTCTTGTGATCATATACAAAATAACTTTTGATTTTATTGTTAAACTAATTGAAAAGAGTTCATTTAGATATCGTCATCACAATCAGACCTCTGAACAGGTGTGATTGGTTGTAGGGTAACTGCATAACTGAGCACTTGGCCAGTCCAGTCCACATATCTGGGTTGAAAGCTGGTGAGGTATTCATTCATGTGTAGTTTGTCTTGGGAAAGTAGACCCAGTAGAGCTCATTCCTCTTCTGGTTAAAAGACTCAGACACATGACCGTAGATTCTATCTGGAATGCCCTTTTGACCTGGCTGTTGAATTCAGTTTTGGTAGTGATTTTGTATTATGATTGCACTGCCAGTATACACAGACCTTGTCTTAGATGACCATTGATCCTACAAGAAGGTTCATCCACTATTTGACAGGTTTCTTTATAATTCTGTTGGGTGTCTAGCTTCACTCCTCACTATAAAAGCCTGGTGAGGGAACTGATTTTATATTTACATATATGTAGTGCAAGTAAAAAAAAAAAAAATGAAACTACATTTATGGGTTATTATTTACTCTTCTATAAAAATTTTATTTTATTTTGAAAATTTGCTTGATATTTCATAATAAATTCACAATGGCTATAAATACTATTAGCATGAGTTATATTTACTTACCCTATTTTTTGGTATATAAGCTACACTGAAGACATGCAGGTATAATAATTGTTATCGATATGAAAAATGGAATTAGCAGAGTTCAAATTCTGGCCATTTCTATTTTTTTTTAAAAAAGATCTAATATTCTATACTCCCCTCACCTATAGATTAAATAACAGTGTAGAGGGACTCTCTAGCCTTAGTTGGTAACCAATCTAGGTGAAGCAAAATTAAATTAAAAATTTCCGAAAAGACAAATGGAAACTCAATTTACTATCTTTCTTAAGAAGTCATAGCACTTCACAGATAAAGAAAATAATCTTATGGAAGGCCATGATTGCCTATATTGTGAAAAGACAAGGCATTAAGAAAAAAAGCAACCTGCACTCTAAATTTAGCTTGAAATATGTTGGTAAAATAAAATAAAATTTTCAGAGCCTGCTTCAGACCTTACTGGAGTGAGAATTTTAGATACCAAGTTTTACACCCAAGTCTGACCATAATCATATAGGATATAGATAAATTTGGGGGTCAAACTTTGAGAAAATAAAAAGTACATTTTATACGCAACAAAGTATCACACATTTACATATTATTCAGTGATGATTTTAACTTCAGAATTCAGTTTTGTTGGCTTTTTTCTTGGAGGAAAAATAATGCCTTCATTTTTGTTCTCTAATTCTGATCTTGAATAATGGTTGGCTTGATGATAAAATTGTTAAAGTTATTCAAGTGAGAATAAAAGTTGCAGAAGAAATTGTGAATGTGACAATAAAGATGAGGACAACAGTCTGAACAATGTAAATAGTTACAATACCTCATCTAGAAATATAGACAGATCCATCATACTAGTGTTAACTTTAAGCTAGTGTACAGAAATCAAGCCATATAGTAATTCATGAAGTTTAGTTTAGTCTGGCACAAGTTAAAAGTAACTGGGCTCCGAATAAGGATTGAATTCACATGTGAGAATAGCTGTTAACTATTGCTCAGTAGCCAATAGAGCAGTTGTGTGCAAGCTTTGAAATAAAACCATGTATTTGATGTAGTGTTTGTGAAAGTTGATATAAAATTAGAGATTATAATCACTTGCCTGGACATGTGGCTGAGTGGTTAGAATGTTAACATTTTAATTATAAGACCCAATTTTGAATATCACCATGGATGGTCTGTCAAGGAGGTGACTCCTTGATAATATTAGCCAGAAGAAGTGATCCCAGCAAATTACACCATTGGGAATTGTCTGTAAACCATACTACTGGCTGTTCATGGCCTTGTGAGTGAAACTGGGTAGACAAAACTGTTCAGAAGCCATTGATGGTTGTATTAGCATGAAGTCACAAGTCATCATGACTGAGGGTTTTTGGCATATTGGCTTTGATCAACTTCTGATTACACAAGATTGTGTGCTTGCTTCTAGAAAATGTAACTATGGTCTGCTTAGCATAGTTGCAGTATAAACACAAATCTGCCTGAGCTTGTGTCTGCAGCAGGGATTAGCTAGCTACCCTAGCAAATGGGCATACTCAAAAGCAAGCAGCCAGCCATTATATTATTACATGTCTGTTTTATTGGCTTTTATTAATTTAAGTAATTACAAAAGACATTCATTATCATAATGGATAATGTTATCAAATGATCAGTCAGTCCCAAACTATTTAAAATCACTTAAAAATTATCCTCTTATATTCAGAATTACAAGTATTTTTTTATGATTTAATGCTTATTTTATAAAAATAAATTAAAGTGTATAACAATGAATGTACAAAGTTTGACTGAAAAGTTCATAGGATGACCAATATATAAATATAAGTAGACACACTAGTTGGTTACTAAAAGCTATTCAAGTGCACCAGAATACAACAACTGACTGACCAGCTGTTGTATTCCAGTACACTTTCATGTCTTTTAGTCTACCATCTGGTGTGTCTACTTACAGCTATATCTTGGTCAGCCTATGAACTTTCCAGTTGACCCATGTAAATTGTTCCAATTTTTATATCCCTTGCTTAACCCATTAATGACCACTGTTACAAAAATGGGACTAAGGGTTATAGGTAGAAATCTATAATTAATACGTTTTTATTTTTTTTTTAGAAACCTGTAATTAATATTAGATGTTTTTCTTTTGTTTTTTACAATTAATACTGTATTTATGGTGGGCATTAATAGGTCAACATTTTTTGGAGTTTAAATTTAGTCTAGATTTCATCCTCTTGAAAATAATTAGTGCATTTAAATCTTTCATTGCTTAAAAAGAACTTATCTAAAAACATGGCATTTTCTTTTTTGCAACATGAATATTTTGCTGGTATTTTATTATCAGAACTAGTTTAGCTATACCATTAAAAATTACTGTGATATTATAGTAATCTTACAGTCAGTATTATTGAGTTAATGTTACCAGCTGGTTATTGTTATCAAAACGATCCTGATCTTCATATTCAGTTTCTGTGGCATTTTCTTTCAATATTTTTCAGGATTACATTCTTTTAATTTCTTTTTCTTTTTGCCATTGTTTAAGCCAGTGATGTTAAAATTATTTTTATTTGGCCGAGTAGATAGACACATCAGTATGTGGCCACATATCTTTCATCCATTCTCTGCAGTTAATAATGACTCATTGATTTGCCGATAACGTTTTAAGGCATTCATTTTGGCAAATCTACTTTTTTATGGTCATTTGGATAAGTTTTTGAAGATTCTTAAAAATCGTTCTTTTGTCTCAACAAAAATAATTTAATATTTGGCAGATAACACTAGTCTCTTGGGTTGTTTTTAACACAATTTTTGCCTTGTTTAAAGGTCACAATAAGAAGATATGTTCTGGCTAGAAAGTTTAGGTCAGTTTTAACTCTCAAGAATTAACCCTTTGTACTGAAAAATTACTTCAAAGTATAAAATAAACACACTAGTTAATGTTATCTTATATAAATTACATTATAATAAACCATAATATAATGGAGCTATACACACACACACACACACACACACACACATAACAGAGAGAGAGAGAATTAATACAAGTAAAAGGTTTGTCACTTAGCTGATTGATGTTACCTTCAACATCCTGACTCTTGAGTTTTGTGGATGGACCCTCCAGGAATCACTGTCAATTTGTCAGGGTGCATCAGCAATTGACTGCTTATACTTCTCGATTTTTCTTTTTTTATATGTACTTTTCATTGGTGCAAGTTTTTTTCATAGTGCATTTGAGCTTCTATGCACATATGTGTAGAATGTTGTGGTTATTTGTCTTTTTCATCATTTTTTTTTTTACTTTACATCACTCCTTAACCTTCTCTCTCTTTTACCTCTTTTCTTTCAATTGTAGTCATTTTGACTTCTAGTTTTCTAGACATATACTGCCATTGTTAATTCTTGAGTGTTTGAGTGTTGTCTTGTATATAAGGAAAGCCGAAGACTTCTCAGCTCAACCAAGATGGTATTAAAAAAAACTTCTAATGTTTTGTCATATTTGGGGAACTTGGTCAGCTTGTGTGAGTGTGTGTGTGTATGCACACATACATAGGTAACTGAATTTAATGATAAAAACATTTATTTTACACATATTTTCAATATAATCTCCTTTATTAATGCACTTAACCCAATATGTCTCTCTTAATCACATAGATAAAACATTATACAGTGAAGATTTCAGGCCTAAATTGTGTTAATAACTGGTCAAACTATGAACTTATTGATTCACCCTTGTATGACAAAAACTATAGAATGAGCCTATCATCTTTCAAAAATTCAGTTGTAAATCTTAGTGTTTATATTGCTAATAATCACAGCAATAATAATTGATTTTTTTCAGCACATTGTCATATCTATAGTCAAATCCAGACTATGGATAACACAGCATTGAAATTATTTAAAATTAATGAATAGATATTGAAAAATTCTTGTCCTGGCCTACTTTACAAAATTTGACCTAATGATCAAACATCAGAATTTATTTTGCAATCCCTTCTTGGTCAGCAATCCCTTATAAATAGCTATGGTACCTAAACTCTCTATGCACAGTATTAGATTGGCGGTAAGATTTCATCATTTTAAAGTTGAAATGGCTAGATGTAACTGTAAGTTCTATGCTAACAGTTTCTTTTCTTGAACTTCTTGCTTATAGAACTCTCTTCTGGCTTCTTGCTTTCCAGTCAAGTTTGATCTTCAAAAATTTAAATGCAATGTCAATCGTTATCTTTTGTCTTCTTAATTTCTATTCTTTAATTGTTCTCCCTCCTTAAAAATGATTCTCTTATATTCATTAACACTCAGTAACCTCCTGTGTGTTAGTGGCTTTGTTACCTTGTTAGGGATGAAGTGATTAAAATATATTTAACTTATTTTTATTATTCATTGAACTTTGATTAGTACTACTGCATTCAGCCAAATTGGGTGAAATGCTGGATAGGAAGATTGTGCTGCATATGTTTTCTAGGTGGACAGTACATGCCTGCCTTGAAAATCAACATTTAAACTCTAGCCTTCTACCACTGGCATTGGTAGAAAATAGAAAACTACTTCAACACTGAAACAAGTCCTAAACTAATTTCTTTTGGGCTTCCTTTTATTAACTTAATCTAGAAAAAAGTCTATATGATGTAATTGTATTTATTCATGTACTTTTTCTTGTGGCTTGTGATCTTTCAAGTTCCTTTAATAATGTAAAAAGAAATGACATATTTTCTTGTACAATACAACTTGAATATAATACGACTCCCATGTTAAAAACAAGGAATAAATTACATCTTTTCTGGCCCAACACCATAGGACAGCCATCCCTATCAATTTTTTTTTTTTTTTAAAGTTGTACCACATTATCCATTAAAATCACAATGTTGTACATAAAAAAAAAATGTCGTACTTAAAAAAAAAAAAAAAAAATATTTAATTTTTTCATGATATTAAAGAATAGAAATGAACTGAATGTTTAGCCATTGCATGTTTCTTCCGATAATTTCCATTTCAAAATTTATTTTCAAATTTTGTGGAAAGGTGCTTTTTTGTAACATTAATGTTATCAAAACATAACAGATCTTGTGTATTCCCTTAACTAATACTTTTAATCAATTTTGATGAATTTCCTCTCTTTGAGACAAAAGATTCTGAAAGAACAAATATTGCCAACATATTAAATACCTTTTGTAAAAAAATCTTATCAATACCTGCATACTTTTATGTTTTATTATCTATTGTGCTGAGTGTATTTGCAATCTTGCTATTTTTTAAGCTGGGTAAAATATTCTGAAAATTTATACTTGTGTATAATATGACCCCCTTATTTTACCTTTAATATTCATTCAAAATTTCTTGTATTATACACAAGAAAATGCAATATTGAAATAATATATACCAGGAAAATATGAACTAAGAAAAAAATGAACTAAATGTCTGAAATTTTGAAATGAAGCGTTATTATTTGATGTTTTTTTTTCAAATCAGCAGTCATATATAAAGTATAATTCTAATAAAACTCTTAACATATTAAGTATAAAGATTTCTAAAATAGATCCTTTCTCTATTATAGTTTTGTGAATTAAGATGTCAGTTCCTAGTATTTGTCTCTTTCAATCAAATTTACTCTTTAGGGCTGTGAGTTCAATCAATTGACTCTGCAGTCACAATTACCTTAATTCACTGGAAGGTTAACCCTAAAGAATACTGTGGGATCAAGGTATTCATGAGAAATTGGTACAACTCCATTATTTGCTAAGCATAACTTAGCCCGAACTTAGGCTATAGTAGGGGGGCACTAATAAAGATTACATTTATCATGTTAGGGAATTTGTTCTTGAGATGAGCTAAACATTCTGCTATGAGAGGGATTGTTATATTGGCAAATATATATTGTGCATTCAATCCTTACAAAGGATATGACAAAACAACTGCATATCTTATTTGGATTAAATTAAAGGGTCTTTTCAAGACAACCTGAAGACAATATGCACTTAAAGAAGATAAGAAATGTGAAGCAATCAGTAAAAATGAGGATGTTAGTTAAAATAAAAAACATTGAAACCTTGAGTAAGTATAAATTTCAGTTTGTTAGAAATTAGAAAAAGTTGGAATGGCAGCTTTCTTCTAGGACCCACAGAATTTGATCTACTTTCTTTTAGATGTAGCAATTATCTGGTAAGAGACTAAATGAAGACAGATAATAGCTAAGCATACACATATTCTAGCTGTTACAAATTATTAAAATCACCTACTTAAAATATAATTTTAACTTTAATCTTATATGGGGAAACAGTCAGTTAAGTTGCAAAGTATTAGTGTACCAAGCTCTTGACTATTAACATTTGAGCTTTTGTTTGCATAGCAGAAATTTTTTTCTTTATACTTTCTGGTAAGTTATTTGATTCGCTCTGAGGTTAGATTTTTATGGAAATTCAAGAATTAATGGATTTTTTTTTTTTTAATTTGACATATATTTATTACTTTAAATGTTATTTTTGAGGGCACATTTTCTTTAATAAGTATCCTCAGGTGTATAGGCCTGTAGACAAAATAAATACTGTTTAAAATAAATGGAATGTCTACTCAAATATGGGTTTCCACTCAAAACAACTTTTGAAGTAATAAAAGTCAAGAGTATAAATGTTGGTCTTTTTTTCTTTCTTTCTGTGACGTATACTTTACCATAAACACCTTACTGCTAAGGTTAAATTTTTAAAGTCCTTTCTTGGAGGTATATTTGATTTAGAAGTTTGTGTCTCATCTTTTTTTTTTTTTTTTTTTTTTTTTTTTTTTTTTAAGCATTATGCCCCAAGCAAGGCGTGAAGCCACTAGGATGCATGGGGTTGCGGAAGATTTGGAGCGAGAGCAGATAGGAGTGATAGAAGAAAGGATGAGGAGAAGGATAGTGGGTAGATCAAGGTAACTGGAGATGTCGATTGACATTACATTTGAATAGTTGGAGATTATAGCCTTCAGGGAAGCAGTAACTAGGAAGGGTGTTCCACTGGCGAGAGGTGCGAGGTATGAAGCTATTGGAGTAGAAGAGACGGCTACATTTGAGAGTTTCTACGGTGTAAGGATGGGAGCGGTATGCCAGCCTCGTAGGGCGCTTGAATTCATGGAGTCTGGGAACCAGTGAAAGCAGCTCGTCAGAGCAGTTACCATGGAAGTATTTGTAGAAAAGACAGAGAGAGGTGACGGTGCGTCTGTGAGAGAGTGACTGCAGACGAGATGCCAGATCAGGGCCAATTAGATTACATATCCGTCTCTGGATCTTGTCAAGAACTCCGAGGTAAGCAGAAGGTGCCCCAGATGATCCTTATTTATTTATTTATTTATTTTTCTTTCAGTCACCTTCGGAATGACCAGTCCATCTATGTATTACTACACCAAGGCCATGACTGATTTGTTTGTTGACTCCACCTACAGTGGAGGTGGTAGTTTCAGGACAATTAACACTGTTGCTGATTTCTGGAAAGTAAGTCATTTTTTTTTTTTTAATTTCATGCAGACCATTACTTGAGACAATTTGTTTTTCAAAGTAGTCACTATCAACTTCACAGGGTTGATGAAACAAATTCAGGGTATTGAAAATCTTAGAGATTCAACTGAGCTTTTACAATTGGAATCTAGATATAGTAAATAAGAACCTTAAGCTTTGTGCAGCAGTGAAAGCATTTTCACATGCATTTATGAGTTCTTTTATGATTTAGTCTGGTTTTTAAGCATGTAAATCAAGTCAAAAAGTCAAAGGACAAATTGAACTGAACTAAGATGAGATTATATAAGATTTACAACCAGATATTTGTTCTTTTTTCAAAGATCACCAATCACATCTCTTCCATTATAGACATCAATCAAGAAAGATGTAAAAGTGCTAATATTTTTATAGTTTTTATTTATTGTTCTTATCATCATATCATAATCATATAATTCAGCTTGATAGTTAGCACTTAAGTCAAGACCTGCCATTACCTCAGATAAATAATGGACTATTCCATTTTAGTTGCAAGGAAAGATGGAAGAAAAAGATAACTGTTTGGTTTCAGTGAGAAAAAGAAAGAAAAGAACAAGAAGATAGAGGAGGAGGCTGATAATGAATGCTACATCTGCTTCAATGGAATAGAAAATCTTGTCAATTTCAAATCTTTTAATTTGCAGCCTCTTATTTCTTTAAATTCATGCCAATAATTAGATATTTCCATGGAAAAGCGATAAGGTTTAAAATGAATTTTTAAAAATGAAAAATCCTTCTTGAAGATTTTATTTTACTTTTAGTTTCAAGCTAATAAATTAAATTTAGTATTTCCAATAAGTAAAATACTTTGTATTTTGAAACAAGTTTAAATGAAATGAGTTTGTTTATTGAGATCACTAAAAATGGCTGATTTTCATCATATTTACAATTCTCTCAGCACAATGTAATTCTTTTAAAAGATCTATTATGTATTATTTAAGCTGCATCTTGGAAGCACACATACATACATACAAGAATTTTAATATAGATATCATTTTCTTGTAATATAATTTGACTCTGAGATAATGAGTTTGTAAGAAAAAATACCAGAGGTCCTTAGCAATATTTATAATATTTATTTATTTATTTATTTGACTTTGATTGGAGCAAATCCTTTGTAATTTGGGGTAGTGAAAGCTCATTTGGTTTGGTATTTGATAATTGATAGTCAGACATTAGTAGTAATTTTTTTATGGCTGCTGTTGGGCATGTGATTACTTTGGAAATAAGTGTGGCATCAATCTGCGTGTATTTTTGGCCCTCAGAAAGGAAAAAAAAATGTCATAAGCAGATGATGGCTTAGTTTCTTCATGCGACATGTTATGCTGGTTTTGCTGTCTCTGCCTCTGGGCTGTCTGTTTATATCCCTTAAGAAAGGGCTATAGACTACTGGCGCAAAGTTTGGTTTTGGCTAACATCAAAAGTCTCTTTGTTTTGTTTTTTTTTGATTGGCCAAAATTCTTTTTTCTTTTTCATTTTATAATGGAAGTTATGCATGGAGCCTCTCTTATCTTGGTAGATAACTAGACACATGGTTCAGCAAATTTCCACCATTTTGCAGCTGTGTTCAGTTTTTCTTCTTCCACTTTTTTATTTGAGGGTTACCTTTACATTAGTTGAGAGAGAGAAAAAGAGATGTATTTTAAAGGAAAGCAAATGCTTTATTTTAATTTGAATTCTTTTATTTTTGTTTATATATTTTATTTTCATATTTTATTTTTATCTGGGCTCACCACAAATGCTGAGTGTTTATCAAACTAAGAATTACACTTCCACTCCCTAAATTATGTTGTTCTTTTATTTTAAACATTAAGTATTTAAAAATATTGTGATCTTGATTTTGTTCCGCTATCATTTATTACTGTTGTATTTTTTCCCTTCTTTTTATTTTAGTTGTTGTTGGTTCATAAACTTCTTCATTGTTATCTACTATAACAATTCTACCTTTTGCTTGTTATGTTATGTTGTTTATAAATAAGGGGTGCTTTTATTGCTTTTATAATTAAATTGCTTAGTTATTCAAATAAAGCTATTTTATGTCTTGAAATTGGTAACCACCTTAGCATTTAGATCACAGCTTAGAAGTGATAGATTTTATTTGAAATGCAAATATTCTGTTTGAAGAATACACCATTTTTAACATGGAAATGAAGTTCGTTTTTTCTTGTTACTCATTTTTTTTTTTTTTTTTTAAAGGTTTATTCTAACAAGTATCACCATTTTATATTTTTAATTCCTTCCTTTTCAACTGATTAATTCTCCAACTTATTTTAATTGGATTTTAATTTATGCAGCTAAAATATGTTAGAATATTTGACTTAATAAATCTTAAAATTTTGTTACTCCACTTCAAAACTTTTAGTTTCTGTGTTTTTTTTTTATGAACATTTAATTTATTCTGAATTTCATAAAATGCACAAAATGAATGAATTATTCTGACCATATGTGATTTCTGAAATCTCATTATTTATTATACATTCTCTTCATCTAGTTTGCCAAAGGTCCTCTGATTGATGCTCTCTACTGGGAAAAATGGTACAATGAAGACCCCATTGTTGGTGATGGCTACATCTACTATGAGAATAAACTTCTTGGACTACCTCGTATGCGGCAGCTAAAAGTTCGCAATGATTCCTGTCTTGTCCATCCTGATTTCAAAAGTTCCATCAAGCAATGTTTCGATGACTATTCTGAAATCAATGAAGATCGTGCAACGACATTTGGAAAACCAGCAGAAATTGAAAAAGCGTAAGTTATTTGTCTTTCTGAGATTTCTCCCACATTTGGATTTTTAAGAAAAAAAAAAAATGAAGAAATAATATGCTAAATGATGATTAGTACAATTTTAATAAGAAAGTAGTGTTTCAAGTAGTATTGGTATTATATCTTTACTAGCTGTTTATATTACCTGTAACATTAAAGGGAGGATTTATTAAGCAAAAAGATAAAAAATTTAATTCACTCTTATGATTACATATTTAGTGACACAGCAAATACTGTGGGTAGAGAGTGAAAAATAAAACCTTGATCACAGTTGTATTTTTGTGCCACTTTCATTTGAACTCAGTATATGCAGTTTCAATTTCACTGCGCACTGACTTTATCACTACTCTATTTCTCTCTTAATTTTAATAATTCTTTTGCATTAACAAACTAAATATTTCTGGAGATGGTGCGGGGATAAACAAATTTTTTCTCCAATTTATGACATATAATTAATTGGCTCTCTGTATGTTATACATTGAAAAATGAGGTAAACAGATTGTCAGTAGTTAGGAATTCATGCAAAAATCACTAAAAGAATTGATCAGTTATATGTAAAATTATCAAGTATACCTGCTGTTGCATAGGTGAATTACCTTTCTTTTCTTCCACTGAACCATATGATTATTTCTTTAACGAGAGAGTTGTATATGCCATGAAATAATCAAATTATCCTAATTAAACAGTTTGATAGGTTTAAACATTTTGGTCATTGTTTAGTTCATATCTGGTATGTCGTTATAATTTATAATATTTGTTAAGTTTTAAAAACATACTATTAAAAGATGTCAATATTCCTAACTACTCTTATACATTTCTTACTTCCAAACTGTGATCTAAATGCTAAGGTGGTTACCATTTTCAAGACATAAAATAGCTTTATTTGAATAACTATACAATTTAATTTTAAAAGCAATCAACGAAGCAGTTCCTTATTTATAAAGAACACAAAACCAGATTGGAAATTTGATTTTTAAATCTGAATATACAATTTAGTTAGCTCCATTAAGCAAGAACCACTAAGTTGTGCTATAGATAATGCATTATATACCTCACATCCAGGTTCACACTTCTCCTGGTTTTTTGGACAGGTGTACAGGTTTATCCCTTGTTTCCTGTTTAGGATTGGGTTTCTGATTCCTTCTAAAGTTTTCTCATTATTTTTTACTCCCAATAGATCCCCTTGTGTCTTAGTGAATTGATTTAAAAAAAAAATAATAAAACTTAAAACCTGCATTTTTACAAATCTTACAATTATTAATTTAATCCCAGAGACTGTCCCACCATATAATATCTTTCCAACTTGAGGGGGCTAGTACCTGAGGCATCTACAAAAAATTTTCTCCTTAGTCCATATATTTGTGTGCTCCTACTTTAAGCTCAATCTTGTGTCATATTCCATTTGAATGTTTGCACACATAAATCCATGAAACCTGCATTTTTTGTGGTATTACAATTGTTATTAAATTTAATCTAAGGCGCCATCCCCCTAGGTAGTATCTTTCTCTCATGGGAGAGGGCTAAAGTTAATCTCTGGTACCTGAGGTGTCCCCAAAAGAAGAAATATATTATAGACACTATTGTCTTAAAACATTTTTTATGAATAATGTATTTTCACAAGAATTGTTTTCTTTAATTTTAATTAAAATAATTTATGAACTTTTAAATTGTTTAAAAATTTGTATTAATATGTAGTGGTCAAGTGGTATTGTTATTAAATTTACTAATCATAAATTGAAAAGCTTACTACAATTCAATGATCCCCCAGTATTTTAAAAATGATTTTTTTTCTGTGTATGTGTGTATAACTGTGGCAATTTATGTAAATACAGACATCCATACACAACATTACCTGAAAATAAGAGACTTATCCATAATAAGTTAAAATTTATTGGTAATCTTATAAGTACCTAAAATTTCATTTTTAAGTTTACTTAGTAGTTAAAAAATTGTATAAAAAAGGCATTCATGTTGTATTCGTAAAGTAATGTCTTCCAGTTCTGTCCCGCTTAATTAAATTTCACAAATATCAGGCAGTCAATAAATAACTCAAACTGTCAGAAAAACTTGCCCACCGTGTTAAAAAAATGCATTTCTGCAATATTTGAAACTAAAACTAACTAATATTTGTTTCAATTTTGATTAATTCGACTTTTAAATTAGTTAATTTTCCTTAAATAACATTTCAAAATGATTGTTATATTTTAAAGATTTTTTGATAAAGAGAATTATTTTGTGTTGACAGATTTTTCAATATTGATGAATTTATAGATTTTAATAAGAAGGAAAAACAAAGATTCCAGTCAATTTAGATTTGGTTTGAAATACAGCAAAGTATTTTGCTTATTGAAAATATTAAATTTAATTTATTAGCTTGGAATTAAAACTAAAATGAAAGCTTTTAAGAAATATTTTTCTTTTTCAGAAATGCATTTCTATCATATATATTATGTTTTTTTTTTTTTTTTTTTTTTTTTTTGATTCATTTATATTAGATGATAGTCTTGATCAACATTTGAATGTAAAAAAAAAACTTAAGTGTATTATTATTGGTTAAGACATTGTGATTAATTGCTTTTTTTTTTCTTTTATTTCTCCCAAAAACAAAGTTGAGAATAGAGTAATTGGCCATGGTTAAATGTAATTGGCAAAAATGCCCAACAAACAGAATTGACAAAGTTTACAATAAACAATAACAAGAGAAAGAAAAGAAAAAGAAAAGAAAATAATATTAAGCAAACAAACAATATATGCAACGCAAAACAAGAGTAATATGGCAAAAAATACATAAACTAAGAATAGTGTTAACACATAAAAGTAGATACAGATGAGCAATTGCAGTGTTCTGGATTTAAGACAAGAAAGAACAGAACTTAATCTGATGAGACCAAGAACTGGCCTATCTTATTGGCTAGGAAAAAATCCCAGCATACATCTGTGTGTTTGTGTATAAATTTTGGGAGTAGGTGCTTTTGCAATCATTCCTACTACTGATTAGAGCCAACAGATCACTTATACAGATAGTAAGCATTGTTAATATAGAATATGATTGGAAACAATTTATTTAATTTTAATTACAATGTTTGTGTCTAATGCTAATTGTCATTAACATTTATAATAAAAGTCATTGCAGTCTTTTCTTTATAAAGTATTATTAAAGTTTGTTTTTATGTTTAAATTACAAAGGACACTTTTTTTTATTTTTGAAGATTCGTATATCAAACCAAGAAGGAATTGGATGGTAGCACCTACTGGGGTCAACTTACAAGTTACAGTGGTGGCGGTTATGTTCAAGACCTCAGCAAGACAAAGAATGAAACAACAAGAATTATTGATGCTCTTTTTGACAATTTATGGATTGACCGTGGAACCAGGGTTGTTTTTATTGACTTCACTGTATATAATGCCAACATCAACCTCTTCTGTGTTGTAAGGTAATTTTAGTGATGTATTTCCTTTGATGCAAAAATATATAGGGTGCTTTTGAAATTTATATAAATCTTTTAGTTAATTAATATTCATAATGAAAGATAAATTTGAAAATTTCTTTTCTCTACAGAAGTGCATTGTTTACTGCCCAAAACTAAATTTAATATTAAATAAAAACAAACAAAAAGAAGATTGTTTTTTATCATTTATCAACCTTTGGCAGGTTATTTAAAGCCAGAAAATATTTTTAGATTGTAAGAGTTTTTTTGGAGATAATAATGATTTGCTGATACAAGACTTACTGTTCTGGGGGCAGAAGAGGTGGATTCATACCTTTCCCACAGGTATTTACACATAAGTGAATGTAACAAACTTGACTGGAATTTGAACTTGGCTCTCCAATTTCTCATTCAGAGCCCTTATCCATTACAGCACACCATGAAAATAATATTACTACTAATACTAGTATTGTATATAAACATTAAAACAAAGATTCCAGCAAATCAGAGGAAGATAAATAATGAAGGGTGCATGGTTAGATTTGAGCTTCTGCAAGTGATAGTCCTCATAGCCTAATTGTTAAGTCAGTTGCCCTGAACAGGCAGATTTCCTAATGAAATGCGAATCTGAATCTTGCTGGAGGTTTATTCTTTATTTCCAATCTGTGTAGCTTAGTAACAATCATAGAATTATGGTCTGAGAGTTTTAATAAAAAGCAACAAGATAGGATGAAAGAAATACATGCTAAAAATTAATAAAAAGAATAAGGTAAATTATTATGGTTCTAATATCTGAAGTTAAATTTTAATTTCTCTATCAAATTAAAAATTAACTTAGTGCAGAAAAAATTAATTTTAAAAAGTAAATTTGAACCTAAAAAGAAAATGTTGGTTACAGAGAGAATGAGAGATCAAAGATGTGATTTCCTTATTTCAAATTAAATAACCATTCCTGATAATAATAACAGAAGTGCCTGTTTCCCATTGTTTCACTTCTGGCTAATGAGTTAATGTGTTCATAGCCAAAACTATACATGCAAAAAGTAAATTTGAACTTAGGATAATATGTGAATTTTGGTTACAGAGATAGAAAAATAAAGATTAAATGTTTAATAATATTGAAATACTTTTTTCTACTACAGTCTTATTTTCCTTGTATTCTACTTTCAGATTAGTCGTAGAATTCCCACCAACTGGAGGTGCACTCTCATCTGTTCAGTTCAGCACTGTAAAGCTCATTCGTTATGTTAACAGTTTGGACTATTTTGTTATGGCCTGTGAAGCCATCTTTGTGCTTTTCATTCTCTATTACATCATTGAAGAAACCATTGAGGTATGTTGATTTATAAATTGGTACTCTTAAAATAACTTTTGCCTATTTAATTACCATGGAAACTAAAACATATATGGAGTACAATAACACTGTTGGATGAAGTAAGTTTTCAACTACAAAATGGCTATGCAGTTTTTAAGTATTATTTATTCAGAAAGTAACTTATCACACACTATTGCCATTGCTGAAACACATTATCAGCCACATGACTTTTCTCACATCCCCTGTTTGGTCTCGGTAAACATTCAGCAGGTGTCAATGACTATCAGTAGGTACAATTATTTTTCTGTACACCTCCAATTTATAACCACTCTTTCATGTCACTCAGCTGCTATCTATAACAAAGCAAAAGAAATATGAGCTGTTGGCAGAAAGGCTCAACTTTTATTGTCAAACCACTAATATCCACCTCTGATGTTGTGGGCAAATGTAGTAAAATACAGTACAATACATTTTGAATGGCTCTTGTAAATATTGGCCTACAATGACTTTCCAGATTTGTATTTTAGAATGGAGTTGAATGTCTATAGCATTAATTTTGAATAAAAAAACTATTAAATGAATATCTTTAAAATTTGTACAAAAAACAATGATAACTGCTAGTGATTTTAGTGGAAAGTGTTTACAAGTTGAAAAAAGATGAGGATATTAGTTGAAAATTTTCATTGAATTCATGTAACTTCTTGTGTTTGTTTTTAAAATTTTTTTTTGTGTCTGTGTCTTATCTTTATTTATTTTTTGTGGGTTTTTGCAGATCAAGAAACACAAGTTCTCCTACTTCAAAGGCTTTTGGAACATCCTGGACATGTTAGTTATCTTCATCTCCACATTGTGCATTGCGTTTAACGTCTACCGAACCATCGCAGTCAGTGAAAAACTCAAATCATTACTTGCAAAAGGTGACATCTACGCCCAATTCGAATTCCTTGCATTTTGTCAGGTGCAATTCAACAATGCCATTGCTATCACAGTTTTCCTAGCATGGATCAAGGTATTTTTTTTTTTTTTCAGTAAAGTTTTCAATTTAATCAGCTGTTTTATTTATTTGCTTTTACATAAGTGCTTAGCAATTTATACTATTATTATTATTATTATTACTACTACTACTACTACTACAACAACATCATAATATTATTATTATTATTACTACTACTACTACTACTACTACTACTACAACAACAACAACATCATATTATTATTATTATTATTATTATTATTATTAATAATAATAGCAGCAGCAGTACCATCTGAGAGAAACACCTCCACAAAAATTATCAAGAAATTGTCTAAATACAAGGACCTGGAGATCGAGATTGACTGGATGTAGGGAATGAAGACTGAGACTGTACCAATAGTAATCGGAGCACTGGGCCTTGTGAGAAAAGGAATGGATAATTTTACTAACAGTGTCCCAAGTAACTTCAACATAAAAGTTGCCCAGAAAATCCCCCTACTAGGAACATCCCATATACTAAGAAAAGTGCTATAAATTGAATGACAATTTTCCTATAGAGCCTAAGGACTATAGTTTGGGCCCAGCTCTATAGGATACAAAGCAGGAAACATAACACACAAACAATAATAATAATAATGACTGTGTTTTGTAAAAAAATTGAAAAAATAAAATAGAAATAAAAACGGTTGACCAATGTATTTTTAGAAGAAACTGCTTTTAAAGCTAGCTAGCTAGCTAAAACAATTTTCTAGAATAATAGAAAATTTGAGGAATATAACTAATAATCAGATGTTGATGAAAAGTCAAATTTATGCTTTAGTTATTTTGCTCTTGTAATTAATATTGACTTTATTGCAGATTGGTATCTTTTTAATGTTTTTTTTTCTTTTGCTGTAGATTTTCAAATACATCAGCTTCAACAAAACAATGACTCAACTATCATCTACGCTTGGGAAATGTGCAAAAGATTTGGCAGGATTTGCAGTCATGTTCTTTATCATTTTCTTGGCTTTCACCCAACTTGGCTATTTGATTTTCGGAACTCAAATCAAAGACTTCAGCAGCTTTGAAGATTCTTTGTACGTAAAACCAGAAATACCTTTACTGTCTTATTTAGTTTTATACTTAATTTTTTTTTTAAGTCTATCAAGATCATAACAAATGTGACGGTTTGATAAAGATTTAATGTAAATTAATCACTTGGGATTCATAAAGTGTTAAAATTACTTTAGCCACAATATTTCATGAGAAAGATTTGGGATTATCAGATTTTCTGTTTAAATTTCTGTGTTTATGAGTTGTTATTATTATTTACATTATTTCTACTCAAATTAATATCCTCATCATTGTTGTTATTATTACAATGTTTAAATAAATAGTGTTTATTATTTTTCTTGACAATTCTCAAGAACAAAGAAAATGTATAAATTCACTTTTATATGTTTAGGTTTCATTAAAATTCTAATCATCATTTTAAGGTAGATAAAATAATAGTGGTGTCAAAGGAGAAACCATCCTTTTTGACACACCATTTTTTTGTGGGCACAAAGGTTAAAGATTGATGAAAAGTCAGTGACAAACTGAAATTCAGTTTAACACTGGAATTCATAGGTAAAAGAAAAATGTGTGAGACTAGTGATAAAAAAAAAGTAATTCTCTCTAGTCAAATAAGCAAAATTTAATATTGTATTATGAAAATGTATCAAGTATATTTGATATTCAATTTCAAAGCTTTAAAATGCCAAAATAAAATAAAAAAGAAAATAGAAAATTCTTTTAAAATAACACTCAGGCATTATTAAATATTGGTAAAAAATTACCATGTGATTTTATTGATAAGAGTAACACTGAAATGACAAGTAGTTTCTGCTATCTTCAAGATGGTAGAAGGAAAATTCTTAGTGCTGGACTTAACTAAAAGCTAAATTAGCTATATAGCATAAGGGCCACACATTCTCAGGGAACTCATTTTATTTAAATATATTTTTATTTTATCATTAGTTTTTATTCTTTAACACTAAATCATCAAAAATTTTATAGAATCTATCTTCTATATATTTAAGTCTACTATTTGTTCATGCTTATAATATTACTGCCATATATGGTCCAGTGCCCCTGCTATTTATCTTGAGCTGCTTGATAAAATCCAAAGAAGAATCAGCAATATTATTGGTCCTGATCTGGCGTCTCGGCTTCAGTCACTTTCTCATTGCTGCAAGCTTACCTCTCTGTGTCTTTTCCATAAATACTTTCATTATAATTGTCTGGATGAGCTCTTTGCTATGGCACCTAGACTTTTTGAATTTAAGCATGATACTAGACATAAATTTACAGTTGTGCTGGCTAGATGTAGGCATAAGCTCTATGCTAACAGTTTCTTTTCTCACACTTCTTGCTTGTGGAACTCTCTTCTGGCTCCAGGTTTTCCAGCCAACTTTAATCTGCAAAAATTTAAATACAATGTCAATCGATATCTACTGTCCTCTTGATTACTCTTTTCTCTTCCCATTCATTATTAATATTTCTGTTCCTAATTCTTCCACACTCTGTAACCCTTTGCATCTTAGTGGCTTTACTGCCTTGCATGGAGTGATACCAATTAAAATATATATGTGTGTGTATAATCATTAAGAAATAATCATGTATAAATATTTAAAAAATATTTTACCTATTTTTTTTATTTTTTAGAGAAGGGCCTTGAATTTTCATTTAGCTTAGGGCCCTAACAGATGAGTCTTGACCTGAAAATATACCAATGTTGCTGATATTTTAAAAGAAAATTAATATATAAATTTGAAAATATTCCTATATTGCATTATAAAGTAGTTTTTATCTTCAAAAGATTTTATTATTAATCTATTATTTTTAACCAAAGAAAAAAGTAGCATGATATTCTTAATTCAAATATTTCTCTATTATTTGATGCTACAGTTTGTTCTTTTTATATTATACTGTAGATGAAACTAAAAAAAATAGATGTTTATAGCTCATTAGTATTTAATTGACAAGAAAGTGTCATTAATAGTGTTTTTATTTCACTGTTTAAAATCCTCAGAAATAATATTTGAAGTTTGATCAGTTTCTGTAAAGAAAAAAAAATCTAAGTTAAAGATTCTTAAAAACTTTGTGTACGAAGACAGCAGTTTTGATTCTTCACAAGAACTTAAAACAACAAGAATGTGAAGACTGAGACCAATCCAAAACATTCAAGACTGTCTCAATCAAAATTATGTAAATATATCAATTTTCTGCTTTGATGAGCTTGAACAGTTTATAGGGAGAATTAAAATCATATATCTATACAAAATGGTACTTTAATACTGTCAGTAGCTATCAATAAAAAGGTATCTTTGGATAAATAATAGAATATGGCTGAATCATATGCATGTTTTCTGGATTATTCTAAAGTTTGTTTTTTTTGGATGATTCTAAAGTGTGTTTAAATAGTTTTGTATATTATATCCATTAAAATAAACTTGATTTATATATATGTTGTCAGTTGATGCTTGTTGCATTTAGTTAAACTATTCTAACACTTACAAAAGAGTTACATTAATGTTAAATAACAAAAATGTAAATGTTGAATAATGACAAACTAAAAATTAAAATACAATGATTTTAGTATGATTCACTCATATTTTATTTTTTTCATTTATTTATCCAAAGATACCTTATTTTATAGAGAGCAACATTCAAGGGAGGTAAATAAAACCATAATATTACAATGAACAAACAAAAACTTATCAGAAGTTATGATACAAGAATAGTTACCTAAAGATATTACAATAATGAAGAGTTGGTTTAAGACACAAATAACCATTCTGCAGCTTATGCCAAGCTGCCTTAAGATTTTACCTAGCCTGAATCAACTTCAAATAACAAATTATATATAAATATATAATATATTTTGGTTCTAATCCTGCCAATTGACCAACTTCTGGTAAAAATTTAACTAATATTGTCATTGTTTTATCATTGCTTGTATTTTTTCAGCTTTACTCTCTTCCGTATCATCTTGGGCGACTTCGATTTTGTTCAACTGGAAGCGGCAGACAGAGTGCTTGGACCAATATTCTTCTTCCTCTATGTATTCTTTGTGTTCTTCGTACTCCTTAATATGTTCTTGGCTATCATTAATGATACTTATTCCGAGGTCAAAGGAGACATTGCCAACCAAAAGAATGAATTTGAGATGGGAGACTATTTCAAGAGAGTAAGTCTATAAATTGATAAACTAGGCTTTTAAATTCATCCTAAAATTAAATCTGATTCCAGAATTACTGTCAATAACCTCTCTCTCTCTCTCTCTCTCTCTCTCTCTCTCTCTCTCTCTCTCTCTCTCAAGTGCCATTTCCTTTCATAATGTAAGTGATCAAGGCTCTCCATAGCTTACTTTTCTTTAATATCTTTAAATTGTGAGTTGTCATGATTATTATTGGGAAAAATAGTGGAGTGGTTTCCTGTTGCTGTGTCTATGGTTTTTAATTCGGAGTTGTTCTTGCTGGACCTGTGGAAATTTCATTGGCATTTACAAATAAGATGTCATCATTACTCTCACATTTATTTCAGCAGTTATTCACAGAATGGGTCTATTATATACATATTAAATGCAAATTTATGATAAAATGTTTGATATGAAATATTTGAACAAAATTTGTGAAAACCAGTTGTATGTTTAAGATATTTTTTATTTTATTATCAATGGATACTTGTACAGAACAAAATGTTGATAACAAAATAAAAAAAAATTAAAAATCCATCTGTTTTACACAAATTCCCTCTTACATATATTTATATATATATAAAATTGATAAACAAAATAAATAAGATGGGCTAAAAGTCTGGGGAAATATTAAGACATAAGATCATTAAGACCCTCTAGTAACAAAGACTTCCATGGACTCAATTGATCAGCAGTTTTTTTTTTTTGGTTTTGTTTACAAAGTGTAAGAGTCTTATATAAAAATGAACAGAATAATTTTATAATGTTTACAATGCAGTCTGTCTATAATAACACATGATCATGAGTCCTGTAACCCATTAGGGTCGTAGGGGACCACATATACTGTAGTAGCAGTGGTGTTTCCTGTGTAAAATAACCTGACAGAGCCCAACCCTCTCCAGGCTAGTTTGAATTCAGAGTTTTCCTTCTAGACTGGTTATAGGGCACTATTTATCTACTATTTATCCATAGCTGGGGGAGAAAAGATGAATTCATCTTTTCCAAGAGTATTAGCACATAAGTGAATATAATGAACTCTACTAGAATTTGAGCACTTCCAATTCCTCAATTTGAGCTACTATCTATTTCTTCATTATGTCTCCATATAATTCCATACTTCCAAAAATTTCATACCATGTTATCTTTTAAATATTTTATCATTTAAGGTATACATTTCTTTGGTTTCAGCAAAATATTTTCTGAATTGATCTGTAAATTTTGCCATTTTATAATTGTACAATTTGGGTTTAGGTATTTGTTTCTTGATTTTTTGAATTGTAATTATATATTTTATCATTTCAGTTATAAATTCAACCATTTAGAATTATATATTATCTCTAAAATACTTGTGAAGTTTAGATTTTTAATAATTTCTATATAAGATTGAAATATTAAACTAAATCCAAATGAAGATAAAGCTATGCTAACTTTCAACATATTCACCATTTTGAATGCAAAGATGAATATGTCTTTGAAGTTTCGGTAGATTTATGACATTTATGATCTTGAGCTTTCTTGATGTCTCCAGAGAAACATTAACAGACATTATAAAACCCAGGTTGTGTGTGTGTGTGTCTGTTCGTTTATATATTGGATCGGATTTCCTACATTTTTCAACCGATTTCAACAAAACTTCACAGGACTACATAAAATTACCTTGCGGTAGTTCTGACAGTGGCAAAAATTGGAAAAACACAATTGTTTTTGCACAAAATCAATTTGAAAACACGATTAAGAGGCATCACGAGAATGAAAGGGGGACAACTCATATCGAGTTATACTTATTATAAAACCCAGGTTGTTTGTGTGTGTGTGTGTGTTCGTTTATATATGGGATCGGATTTCCTACATTTTCAATCGATTTCAACAAAACTTCACTTTTTTTTTGGCAGGTAGTGTTTCTTATTATCTTGCACACTTTTTTCTTTATTTTTACATTCAGAATGCTTTATAAAAAATTCCATTTACAAGACAATTGTTTATAATAAAATTCTATTCAATTGGTAGACTCATAACGATTGAAAACAATGTTTGAGTTTGGGTTTGACCAATTCGTAAAAAAAAAAAAAAAAAAAAAACTAATTAAGACATGCGTGTCTGTTAACCTTAAACAATAATCTTTGTCAATTTTATTTTTTAGTCTTTATGATGGTTGATACTTGATCTATCTCTTACTGTTACATCCCTGGGCAACGCCGGGCTCTACTACTAGTATATTATATAAAAAAGAAAATATTAAAATCTTAAGTGGCACATAGACTTTATAGACAGCTTATATTTTACCATTTCAATTATGCATTCTAATAATATAAATTAGTTTTTCTTTTATTCCATTTATACATTCTATTAATTTCATATCTATCTACCATTCAAAATTTCACAATTCTAATTTTTTACCCTTTTAATCTATTATTCAAATTATGATGCAAACGCTTTTCTATTTCTCCATTCTCTCATTTCATTAAAGGTTCTGTTATATCGATTTTATTTTCTAGTGTCTTAATTTTTTTCTTGTTCTTCATTTGTTTTTCTAATTTTATTTAGGGATATCAAAGAATGGTTGATAAACTTAACTTTAAACGTGACAAAATTGTTGATATCCAAAGAGCATTGCAATCCGCTGATATTAACCAAGACAATCATCTGGACTTTGATGAATGGCGCCAGGATATGAAATCGTAAGTATTGTGACACCCAACCTTTTTTTTTTTTACAAGGGGCACAATATAACTTTGTAGAATTTGAGAATTTTTATTCTTTTCTATTTTTTTAGTTTATATAAAGTTTCAGGTTACTTTTGGGCAATGTCAGTTATTTGATAACCTGGTAATATAGAATTTCTTAAGAATCTTATGGGAATAATTAAAGATTACAAGAGCCTACTGATGCTTTAAACTCAATTGTCACTCATGTATACAAAAAAAATGAAGAATTACCAATGTGTACATCTTGTCTTGAGCCATACACTGTATCTTGATAGAATGTGATGACCTTAAGCCTGACCCACTGTAGATATTATCAAGTAAATAGTTTAAAGGAATTAAATATATATATATATATATATATATTTCTGCATAAAAGATGATCTTTAAATCACAAAAATAACCCTTAAAAATTGGTCATCTTCTATTAAAATTCTAAAAAAACCTTAAATTCTGAGTGATGTGTTTTGGTAGGTTAACCTTGGCCTCTGTATAATAATCAATAACGTACATAAAAAGATTTACATTATCAAAAAAACTGATAATATAAGTAATAAAAGCATTTCTACCTTGTATATTACTGGCATAACTTCATAATAAATTGCCTAATCAAAGAATAATTCTATATCAATGAAGTCAACTTGTATCCATGCAAGCTCAGCTGAGAAAATGTAAACATTGAGTTATGATTGTGTTCACAGCAATAGAATATACTATTATCGTACATTATCATACTGTTATTAGTACACTAGGCTGTTTATAATTGTTTGGGTATAGAAAAAGAAGAAGAGGAAGAAGAATCAGTATTCACAAGAGAACATGTGATGAAACAAATAAAACAATAGTTTCCCTTTTAGGGGACGTGTGTAGGAAAAGCATGATATAGAAACAGTTTTGTTATTTTGTTTATTTTGAATTTAAGTAACAACATTTCCAATAACAGCATCTTTATATAAACAATAAGCATTTGTTTTATACTGCAAGCATAGGATAAATTCATGAATACTTGCTATACCTTGTTTTATCTAAAGGTCGCCTTATACACAGAAATATACAGTGTGTGTGTGTGTGTGTATATATATATATATATATATATATATATATAATATAAAATAAAGCATGCCAGATTAACTGGCAAACCCTTAATATTTTAAAACATTATTTTGGAATTTCTTCTTGGTCAGGCTGAGAACTTTTCACCGCCTTCTTGTGTATGTTATATATAATATATTACTAAAAGCAATAGACATTTTGTGTCTATTATTTTTAAGGATCTCTTTCTCTAATGTACAAAAAACCTTTCACAAATGTAGTCATTTTGTGTGTGGGTAAATTGGCCAAAATTCATATGTTGTCCCAAGCTTTTTAATTAACCATGTCATCATCAGGTGAGGGAGGGGAGTGAGAAATAAATCATGGTTTAAGAAATAGATTGTATCATTGTTTTTTGAAAACTTTTTTTTTTTTTTTTTTTTTTTTTAAAAATAAATAAATAAATAAATATATATATATATATATATATATATATATATATATATATATATATACCTTTTCCTTTATCTTATTTGTTGATAATTTTTAATAATTCTCTGGTACTGTTTATTCGGCTGCAGGCGTGGATATGCTGATGGAGAAATCGAAGCTATGTTTGCTAAATATGATGTGGACGGTGACCGTGTTCTTGATGAGGAAGAACAAAGGAGAATGCAAGCTGATTTGTCTGAACAGAAAGTAAGCAATTTTCATAAAAACATACATGATATACTTATCATTGAATTCTCTTCAGAGTTTTTAATTAAAATTTCAACTATTATTTTTATTCTTCAGGATAAATAATAATCTCTTCAAAATTATATTACTTGGTAATGATTGTTACTTAACATTTGAACTACAGTATAGTATACATTGAAACAGAATCTATCTCTACTAAGAGCAGGAACCACTATAGTTTCTTATTTTGTTCACTATATATATATAGTTTTAAGGTATAATATATTTATGGACCAATAGGGCCCAATATCTGGGATAGATCATATGTAAATTAGTGTGGGTATTGGGATCGACAAGTAGTGATAGTCCGTTTCCTACTTGAATGCATTCCTCAGACCTGAAAATTGTATTCAGTCATGAAAAACTATAGCCACTCAGTGTTGATTTTAGTACCAATCTTATATATATATATATATATATATATATATATTTAGGCAACATATTTTCATTCAAGCATGTTTGGTTAAATAATTTAGGATGTATTATCTCTACTTATTTTAGTTTTAATCCTTTCAAGCCCACAAATTAATTTTGTGGTAGCTGTAGACAAATCTTTAAAAAAATCCCATAAGTCACCTCTCTTGTATAGAGGTAAAAAAAAAAAAAAAAAAAATATTTTGAACTTATGGTATTAATGTACTACACAACCATAGATATGCAACCTCTGAAGATGGTTTCAGATGAAATTGAAAGTACTTGGGAAAATAAGAATTATTTGAAAGAAAATTTTCCTAATCAATTTTCTACAGTTAACATTTGGAAATAAGTAAAATGTACAATTTAAAAATCAAAAACCAAATACTGTAGTTAATTTCTTCATTTACCTGTAATTAATTTCTGAGTGTTACCTTAATTCTCTTTAGAGGTTGGAACTTTCTAATTGAATTGAATTATAGTGATAGACTTTTACATAGTCAATATTATTTTGTTTTTCTATATTGTGTTATGTTATGGCAAGATGACAGGTAAAAGGAGAGAGTCCATGAAGCTTTACTTTACCCTTTAGCACACTGCATTATTAATATTACTTCCCCTTGTACTGCATTCTTTTTCAAGGCCTCTCAATTGTAGCAACCTTATTGTTAATTTCACTCTGTTGCCATAGCAGGATATGACAACACAACTATGAAATTCAAACACATTCAAATTCAGGGATTAGTCACCTTCAGTGGTAGGATAATTTTTTTCCACAGCAAATGAAGTCACATACAGAGTGATAAAGGTCAAGTCTGGAAGCATCCAAATGCACCTACAAGTTTCACATGCTTATGTCTGTGGGGGGACCTGAATGTGCTCACAATTGGATAGCATTGTATTTCAATAAACACTCATCACATGATCAACAAGAAGTGTTAGAAATCTACAAATTTGTAAATGTGGTAGATTTACAAAAACCATATCTCATAACTAGTAAAAAGGGTTAAAAAATTGATTGACTCCTTTATTTACAATATTGAACAAATTTCATTATTTAATATAAGGAATACATATGCTAACAGGATATGGAAAAATAATATGCATTTGCAAAGGATGTCAGATGTATCTTTATCAAGTTGTAGACCTCAGGAAATATCACGATTGTCCTCTTTAAGTGCATTGGGGAGGTATTATCAGAGGAAAATAATATAGTTGTGCCGTTTAGTCAAAAACTGGCATTAACTAGCAAACCTAGGTTATTATAAAGTAGGTGTCTGTATCATTATTTAATCCTGTCTGCTGTTCTTTGCAGGCTGCCCTCACTAAAGAGTATGATGAACTGGAAGAAAAAGCTGGCAATCAGGGACGGCACTGCAGCAGCCGTATGAGTTACCAGGATGACAGTGGTGAGGATAGTGATGATGAAGATAACGGCTCAAAGCTTTCACGGTCAGGACGTGTTACTAATGGTGTTTCATATGAGGAATTTACGGTACTGTCACGCCGTGTAGATCGCATGGAACATTCCATTGGAAGCATTGTATCCAAAATTGACGCAGTTCTTGTAAAACTTGAAGCGATGGAAAAAGCCAAAATAAAACGACGAGAGACTATGGCCAAAATGCTTGATAGCATCACTGAGGTAAGCATTTGGTTTTGTAGTATAAGCCATTCCTTCTTTTATGGAACCAATTAAAGTATTTACAATGTTAAGAGTTTTTAAAGTATATCTTTTAATCATCTTCTGAGAGAGGAAAAATTCAAAACTAATTCAACTGTTCTTTTATAGTAATTTCCAAGGGAGAATAAATATGTACATGTATGTATGTATGTATGTTAAGTAATGAAAAGTTTGGTAATCCATATGGATAATCCCAAGGAGGATGTAATCCAGAGACCTCAATGTCAAATCAGAGCAATTATTAATTCAATTTAAATAGAAAACAGACAACCTTAAGGGTCCATTGGTTATAATTTATTTCCCCAGGTATGTGGTTTTTACCTGGTTCATCAGACCACACTTCCAAGGGTGGAAAAATGTTTTAAATTTACATATTATATGTAAATTTAAAACATTTTTTCAGTGTTCATTGACTGAGCAGTTTGTACTGATGTTGGTTGAAATTTATAAAATCGTTCTCTTAAAACAATTTTTCAGAAAAATAGATTTCTCAAGTCCAGTAGCTGTTATTCATCTTGATGGCATTTCCTTCTTAATCTTTTATTTGAAGTAGTGTGGAATGTCAAAATTTTGATTATGTCATTATTTTCTATTCATGTTACATGTGATATTCATTTTAGCTGTTGCTGCTGTTGAAACTCCTCAAGTGATCTGGTTTCTGTTATTTACTACAGTTATTTATTTGTGATTTAGTAATGCCTGTCCACAAGGTTTGAAGTGTGATTTTCACCAAAACCCAGATGCTTTACCTGCTCAAAGCCATTTTTAACCATTGATCTTAGAAAGCATTTGTATTCAGGTGACAGTTTAGATATTTCTGAACGGATTTGGTGACATGCATGACATACACATGAAAGTCTCAATCTGACAAAGTTATTTAAGAACATGACTTGAGTTTTCAGGTTAATGTTTTGGCTTTGTAGCAATTTGCAGTGTTGAGTGAAACTATCTCTAGTGCAGCCTATTCTAGGTTCAATCTCCTTATCTTCAATATTAATTTTTTTTATAACAATAGTTTTGCAAATATATGATGTTTATTAACACCTCATTTCTCATGAAATTTTGCATAGTCAAATATATCTCAAAAAAATCAAGTTGTGTAGAGATTTAAAAAGATGAAAAGATTGTTTATACACACACACACACTTGATGATTTATGGTATTATCCACTGATCCCAGTATTTGGGCTTTGAGCTTTTTACCTAAAAGCCAGGATTTCAAATACCAATTTTCTAGACAGACAAGTCTGTCAGTTTGAAAGATTCAAACCACAAAACCTTTTTTCCATCAACAGATAATCCTAAGTTTTAAGTGTTTTTAATTTTATTGTCTTGTTTCTGTTTTCTAACAGAAATTACATTTTGAGAAAAAAAAGGTTGTGATATTATTCATAATTAACATATGAAACATTTACATTATTTACACAAGATAAACCCTTTTTCGACCTTAAAAATCTTATAGATCATTGGGATATAAAACAGGTTGAAGGCTGTAATAAATACCGTTTTTTTTTTTTTTATTAAGTAAACTTAAATCAATTTTAACAGAAGACATAGCGTGATATATATAAACAAATTTTTCAACAATGAGGAACATGGTTGCATTTCTAAAACTAAAGACACTGACTTACTCCATTTCTTTTCTTTAGATTTTATTTTCTTTTTTCTTTTTTCAGTCTACGGGCAACAGTGATGAAATGAAACGTGATCAGATGGAGAAACTTGTGCGTGAAGAACTCGAACGTTGGGACTCGGAAGCTTCTATTAGTCAACCCAATGGACGTGGAGGGTCACCTGGAAGCAGTAGTGGACCAGGTACAGGTGGCCTGAGACCTCGCTCGAGCTCCAGACCAGGATCTGGACAAAATGTAAGCAATCTGATTTAGATTATATTTATTAAACAAAATATATCAAGTTAACCAGTATAGCTTCAGCTTGTATCATCTGGTCAACATATTTCTATTTATATAAATGAATATAAATTTATATTAAAAGTGTCAATCATTTCAGTTTGGTTAAGAAACTTATTACATTTGAATATGTATCTTTCTTGAATATGTTTAGGTAGGCTACAAACCATTGAATTTTTTGAGATCAAATTTGGCTATTTTTGTTTCTAGGAATCGGTTGAAACAGTCACAACAAACTGTTTTCTTAGCAATGCCTGTGCTGTTACAATGCAGGATATTTAAAAACAACAACAATAAAAATTCTTAATGAAATCTGCTAGGCTGTACATCTAGACGCATTGGATGCCAGAAATTTAAAATTAAGCATCCCTGCATCTTCAGTGTTTTCTCTTGATGTATAATTATAATCTATGTTTGTTTATATTTTTGTTTCCACCACCTAAATATATATGATTCCATCAATAAAGACATTATTTAGTCTGAAGAAGTCATTTTGAAAGTAGAAATATGTTACATAGGATTTTTTTTCCATTTGACTGTCCTCTGGTTGGCCAAATAATGCCTATTGTTTACTTGTATCCCAGTCTTTGCCTACCCATAGCTTGCAGGTGCATTAATATAAACAGTCCTTTGACCTTTCCAATTTTACCTATTTAGCACTCGAAAACCCCATCATGAGTGATTTATTTAAAACATTGGGTCTTAATTTATTTTAAATTAAATTCTCTCTTCTAAGGTACTTATGTTGTACTTGTAAAATCTTACCTCTTTCATTATTTTTAATTAATGAATTTAATTAGAACCAAATTAATTCTTCCAGCACTTTTACTTTATAAATAAGCAAAAGATATTTCTACAGAAAGTGTTCTGTTATAAAAGAGTTAAGAGAAAAGTTATTGAAAGATAAGGATAGATAAGTGATACCAAAGCTTCAAGCATTGGATATCTTACCATTTAGTAAATTAATATTTTAGCTAAAATGAAAATAACATTTCTATAGTTTGCTGATGAAAACAGAAAAAATAAATATGTTCCCAGTGCAAGTTTTGGATATTATTTTTAATAAAATATTAATTATAAAGTTAAATATAGATTAACTTTATGGTGTGTAGCATATGAATTACTGTATACACTTGTGTATCAGCCAACTTCATGTATAGTGCAATGTCTGACTTTTTTCCATGAATTTTAATCCCTCCAGAAAAAAAAATTTACCTGTGTATAGTGCAACTGGTTACTGAAAATACATGATTTTTTGCATAAGAAACTGATCATAAAAACTCGCACTCTACTCAAGTATATACAGTAAGCATCTATTAGTAATGTGAAGCATTGTTACTGCATTAGTACAATAGGGTTTTCAAATGTCTCATATAAAATATAGATATATCATTTAGTTCTTTCTGGTTTTTATAGGATATATAAAAATCTTGATACCATAGCAAGATATATCAACACAACTATGAAATTTAAACACTATTGTTCAGGGATCAGTCACCTTCAGCGGAAGGATAAACTTTTTGTACAGCATATGAAATCACATACTGAGTTATAAAAATTAAAAAATAAATTTGTAAGTTCCTAAAATTCAAATATGTAAAAATAGGTTTCATTTTATTTTTAGTATGATCTTTTAAAACAATTTATGAACAATGTAACTTATCTTGAACAATTTTTTCATATTCCAAGCAATGAACAAGAAGGTTACTGTGATCTTTTCATACATTTCTACTACAATTATTACAGATTGTCTTTACTTTAGAGTAATGTGCAAATATTATGACTAAAACCAGAAACTCATTTTAGTTACTTGATGGAGATATTCAGACAGCTGCTTGACTAATCATTACATTTTGACTTGCCAGTTGCTAAATATTAAGGAAAAACATTTTGTGGGGTATTCAAATATCCAGCAGGACTAAAAGAGAATTAAATAAAAACTTTGGTATTCAAAATAATTGTTTTGATTTCAATTCAACTCTTAGTGTAAAATCTATACTAATAAATTACTAGTAGACTTTTAGAAAGTTCTGTCTATAATACAGATAGAAGTTTGTTAATGTCTAATCGTAATTATTACAATCTTTTATTAATTTCACTTATTTACTTACTCTTTATTTGAATTTGCAATCACTGAAAATATCTCTTGTGTTTACAGACATCTGAAGTGTAAACCTTGTTTTGGTAAATATCTAATACATTCACCATTCTTTTATTGAAACTTGCTTTCTTGCTTTTGTACACTTGTCTAAACTAAAGAAAATGTTCTGCATGTCATTTTAAAACAAGATATTACTTGCCTTTTCCCTGGTTCCTTTGGACTAACATATACAACCAATTTTAAAAAGGTTTCTAGCAATTTTTATATCAGCTATACTGTGATATCATCACTTAAGGATTTACTGATTAACATTCGTCCTGGGTATGATGATAAACTACATCCGTGTCTGGGTAAGACGATAAACTATGTCCAACAGCAAGGCCTCTGATCAGGAGGTTTTGAGGAGCGTGGAACCATCTCTTAATTGGTGGTGTTACCAGGTCCACCCTGACCCAGGGTGGTAGCACCTATTAGGGTCCCAGGTATGGGTAAATATTTAAACCCCAAACTGGGGTCAAAACACTATGAAAGTGATAAAATAGGTTTTAATACCAGAAATACTTTTTAAAAAAAAATTATTACCATCAATACATTTTTTAAAAAAAATATTACCAGCAATAAAAAATTTTGTCAGCATTAAATAACCCATTGAGGTTGATATGCTGTAAAACCAAACCAATCCAATTAACATGAATTTGGTTCTAGTCTTAACATTTTTCTGATTGACAGAATATTCAACATTTTTGGCACTGATCTATGTTAACAGATCCCATGAGTATTATTTAAACTACACCTAAATTTTGTATAATTTGCTTATTTACAGAAGATATGGCACAGGAAATACACAGATTAAAATACAAATATCATAAAACAGAACATTAAGCATTTCAAAAATAAAGTCAATTTTAACTTTTGTAGATAAAATCATGAAATCATAAAGTTATATGAAGCATCTGTTGTCAGTTTAACACTGCAGCTCAATTCACTTAGCACATTGCTTTCAAAAAAAAAAAATAATAATGTTCTAACTTGAATAGTAAAAATCAACACAGTTAACTACAGATTTCCATTAAGGTACAATTATGGTAACAGTGAAATCTGTCGGTTTTAGAAAAGACCATCCCATTTTTTAAAATCATGGTGACTAGTGTTACAGAATCACAAAGAACTTTGCCAAATAACAGTCCACATCATTTGTGGACTTTCACCAACTGCAACAACTAAAATGGATAACACTTGTAATTCAAAGAGAATTTCACATTACTTCAAACTAAAGTCTAATAAGGAAGCTCCTGTCAATATTGGAAAGAGCGATAACAGCTACTGGACTTGTGAAACCTATTCTCCTGAAAAATTATTTTAATAGAAAGATTTTATAGATTTCAACCAAAAGTAGCATGCACTGTCAATGAATGACAAATATTTCCTTATAAGGAAACAGCTAATATAACCATTACCATTGTTGTACAACAAACAACAAACATTCATTGACTAAATAGTTAACTTTACTGTCGGTTGAAATTTATAAAATCTTTTTCTTAAAACAGTTTTTTTAATTTAATCATTTTTAATATTTAATTAATGTTGTTGGGCAATGGGCACATGTTTCTAGGCTATTTTTTTTCTAGTTTTTTTTATAGTTAAGTAATCATCATCACTAAACCTACATGATAATGTTTGCATTTATGATAATGTTTGTCCAAAGGAAATAATATGATAAAGGAATGGTTTGCTGATTATCATTGCTTTTATTGCTTTAATGTTGGAAATAAGATTCTTGTTGCTGTTTTTGTCAATGTATCTCAATGATTGTCATTTAGTTTTCTGTGTATTCTTTATAGTTGGTCTGAATATTTACTAAAAACGGAAGAAAAAAATTATAATCAGGCCAGTTAGTGTTTCTTTTATAACTGGTTTTACATCTTCATGTCACAGATTTCCACAGACAGATGTAATCTAATAGTCAGTCTGAAAACAAGAACACATCTATGTATATAAATCAAATGCAGAATTGCTTTGTATGCAATCTCCATCTTTTTTTTTTTTTTTTTTTTTACACTGATGTTCACCTAATACAAGCCCAAGAGCCACTCAGGGTAGAGGGTTATTGTGTTGTGTTGTATGAGCATAAGCAAAGGCAAAAAGTGTAGTTCATAAGGTTATATAGGAATGATAATGGTTAACCATAGACTTTAAAATGTCACAGAAAATATCCTGTTGGAAGTCTTTTCCACTAAGCAGCAGATCTGGGAAAGAAGCTGTCTGAGAGGAACTTACTAAAAGAATACAAAGGGAATGAAGATTATTCATTCTCGTGTATGTGGGATGGCAGGTCCTAGCTGCAATGGTCAAGACTAATCTGAGTATCTCATGGAATCATGACAATGACTCATGTCAGAATTTCAGGCAACAAAAAAGGCTTTGGTGCATTTGTTGTTTTGTTATTGTGTTTTTTTTGCCTTTGTGTGTTTTTTCAAGTTGCTTTTCATAAATATGTATCTGTGTCATGTTCTCTTTTTAAATATCTGCAGCTTATAGTAACCTTCTTTAACAACACAAGATACCAACTGCCTGATGGCATTTTTTCTCAGTCACACTACACTATTTACTAGAGAAAATGACCAGTACCGTTTTTTTCCAGGTAGACATTTGAGAATGGGCAATGTTTGGAAGTGGAGTAGTAAAGTCTAGATTAAAGTTACCACACCAGATTTAGCTAAAAATGACTTTATAAGTAAAAAATAATTATAAAAAATGAATAAGAAAATATAGATATGTTTTAATACTTCAGGGCATCCATAGCAGGATAAAATAAACAAAAGAATATTGTTGGTTGGTGTCACTTTATTTTAGAGACACAAACTCAAATAATGGGAAATTAATACAGGTTAATAATATAAATATATTTTTTTAATTAAAATAAGATAAAAAAATGTTTAATTTTAGCAATGAAGTAAATACTACCATATTTGATGGATCAAGACTCCCTTCCCATCTCTTCATATTTAATATTACAGTATTATGGATTTAGGCTAGGTACAATTTGTTTATGGTGTCTGGGTAAACTTTAGTTTACCAGATATCTCAACTTTAAGCCATAAGGAATATTTTTCATTCATTTTTCAGATATCTCAACTTCAGCCATAAGGAATATTTTTCATTCATTTTTTGTTAGGAAAATATAACAATTTTGAATCTTTTTCTCTCACTCCATTGTCTCATCAATTGTTAAATTGACCATAACCAAATTAAAAAAAAATCTAAATCACAATATGGATTAGTTTTGTTTTTGCAATCTAAAAATAAATCTGTATCCCATTTTTTTTTTTTTTTTTAAATGCCATGTCCTTTCAGGATGGTAGGTGATCATGGCTCTTCATAGATTCCTTTTCTTTATCATCTTTGAATTAGCATGGCTTCTTGGAAAAAATATTAGAATGCTTTCACAGTGCCTCCTTCACATTTTTTAATTCAGAGTTGTCTTAGACCAACTGTCAACCAAAGTTAAAAAGCCCTGTCTACTCTTCAGTTTAGCCCATAGCTTGTGTGTGTGTTTATTTGGGGTGGGGGTGGGTAGAAATGGATTCTTACCTTTCCCAAGAGCAAAGTGAATACAACCCTCAGCTGGAATTTGAACCTTGGCTTACCAAGTTCACTTTCTGCACCGATAGCCATTACACTACTCGCACATCCTTGTTTCCTTTTATTTAATCATTTTTCTTTCATTCATTTCAAATATATATTTCTTTCTTTTTGTCTAATTATCTCTTTCTGATATTTGCAGCTGGCAAATTCCCACATGTAGACTGCCACAGAGTAATTTGGAATTACAAGACCAAGTGTACCAATTCCAAGATGCACCCAGAACAAGAATAATTTAGCACTAGAGCAGCCATAGCACCATCCTACAGTTTGTGGTTCTCTGCCATTTGATTCTTGTCATCTTAGTTTCAACACCATCACTTTCACTTCAGAAGTTTTTCTTCACATAAGCATCTGCATACAAAGATGCAGACAGTACACACATACAAACACACATATTTGCCAGCTAACATCACTCTGTGTGATGCCATCTCTGGTCTCTCAGTGATGCCTCTCTCACTTTGAAAAAGGACAGAGTAAATATGAGAGGATTCTAACAATAATGATCTCTTGGAAAAAAAAAAAAAAAAAGGAAAAAAAAAAGAATTCTTCATTTACAAGCATTTCAAATTGTATTATACTTATGTGTGTGGATGATTATTTTGTGGGTTTCTTAATTATGTTTTTTTTTATCAACAAAAAGGAAACATTTTCTTTCTTTGCAATTATTTATCTACATTTCTGACTTTTTATTCCTCATTTTTGTTTTTGTTTTTTGTTTTTTTTTTCATTTCAAATGATGGTTGAATTTTAGGCAACAGTAAAATAGAAGTAATACATTTAAAAAAATATATGTATCCTCTTTTAGAAGTTAGCTGGAAACATGAGAAAGATTCACATTGCTAAAAGACTTATAAATATCTCCCTATATAGCATTCCATTGTTAGTCTTTTCTTCATGACTTTTCTGCCAGCATGACTGATTATTTTTGTTTTTCTTAAAACTTAAAAAGACAATGTGCCTTTCTTAAATATGATTGCAAGTGATGAAAGATAAAATTGCTAAATTTCGTCTGGTATTTGCTGTTATATAAATTGATTTAAAGCTAAATTCTATTTTTTAAAAAAGAAGCAAAATATAGAAAACTAGAAATTATTATTTAACCTACTAAAAGACTTTTTTTCTTATGCTTTCTATAAATGTTTTCGATAATAAGCCTAAGATAACCATGCATCAGTTACTATTCATTAAAAGATTTCATTGATTTTCTGAATGATGGGAAACAAAATTCTTTTTTCATTTAAAAACCTTTACCTGATTTTTAATGTAGGAAATTTTTTTAAATTATAACTTTCCACAGATTCCTCTTAAATTGCAAATTACTATAATTTGCAATAAGAAGAATTAATGATAATTTCAAAATATGTTTTTTTAATATCAAATTTCATCTTTAAAAATAACAAATTATATTTGGATTTTTAAAAAAATCTTTGTGTTTTATTTTATTAAACTTGTAGTAAAAAGTAATCATAAATTAATCGGCTGTTCTTAGAAAGACAATTGAATATCTCTACTTTTCTATGTATATTACTTCAGCTACCACTTGTTTTTGATACCAGATAATAATTATAATTCTTTTTTTTTATTATTATAATGATGATGATGATTACTATTGCTATGGATTTTAATATCCTAAATATGTACTTACAGTAATATTTATTTTTATTTACATTTTCACTTTTATTTCTTCCTCTTTCTTTCATATACACATTCAGCTATTTTTGTATACATCCTTTTTACTTATCTGTTTAAGTCTGTCTGTCTCTATTTTCATGTTTCAATTATATTTGTTTAATACTTTGTAAACACGCTTTTTTTTAAGTTTCATTTTTGCTTTGTCTCTTTAAGCTCTTACCAATTATAATGATACAATCAGGGGCCAAGAATTATTTCCAAAATTGATATTTTCAAATTATATATAGCGTTTGAGGTGGGGAAAAAAGTTTTGTCTTTTTAATCTATAAACATTATTTTTCTTTTTTTTTTTCCCCAATTAACATGAATTTAGAATCATAAGATCATCTGTAATTAGAATTAATTATATGACATCTTCTATTTGCTGTGCTGTGTACCATTTGTATTTCTGTCTATAATAAACTTGCAAGGACAAGCTTCCTATTCATAGAAGTGCAATACTTAAAAATTTAAATGAAAAATATAAAATTGAAAAAAAAATTGCTTTTTCAAAATCTGATTCTGATCCGTCCAATGAAGGCAAAGCTTACATTTCCTCATGGAAAAAAATGGATTAAAGACATTTATTATAAACTAAATATTTACTAAATATGCATGTTGGAAACAAAAAAATTCTTTAGTAACGACAGCTTGACTGTAACTGGAAATGCCTTAACCTCTGAGAAAAAAACCCCAAAGTGTTCCCTTATGTATGTTGTCATTATGACTGGTTGTAAGTAAAGTTAATATCTTTTTTGAATTTTGATAGGAATAGTTTAAACCTTTTCCCCTCTTTAAAATATAGATCTAATCTTATCCACACTTTCTTTCCTAGTCTAGTTTTTAATGATTTTTTTTTTATTATAGAAAATAGATTTACTGACAATCATTTAAATTGAAGTTATCTTTTTAAATTGGAATTAATGTCAGTATTATAATTCTAATACAATTTTCTTTTTACACTTTTGTCAGGGTGGTATTCTCTTTCATAAAAATACCATTTCCTTCCTTTTTATTTCCTTCATTTATTTTTTCCCAAGCCTTATTCATTTCTTTTCATTTGTTTTCTTGATTTTGTTTTTCTCTTGCCCAGTCATATATTTATTGCTGAATCATTGTCGGTCAATGTTCTTTTGTTTGAAATATTTCTTTATTTTATTATTTTATTTTTATTTATTTTTTTTTTGTAATATTAAGACTGAAATGCATGATGCAATGAACAGCATCAGTTCTCTTCCCTTTGCTCAAGTGCAAACATCACAGACCACACTTTCTTACTTAATCACATGATATCTGTCTAAAAAGATGGAAACTTTGATTTAGTTGCTCTTAATTTGATTAGGTGCTTAGTTTCTAACACCTGAGTTAAATGTGCCTACCTATCATTTACAACTTGTAAGTAAAAATACTAGTCCAGAATTTTTATTAGAAAATAACTGGCTAAGTTAGTTGACTTTGCATTTTGTTGTCGACAAATGTAGTTAGTTTTGTGATTTTTTTGTAATTGATGGGACAGCATTTGCATTTTTAAAATTATCTTGGCTTGTTCAATTTTCTTTGGTAACTCTTTAGTTTTCTTTTTATTTTCTGTTTTCATTTTTAAAAAACATCTTTTGTTAATTCCTTACAAATATGTATCCCTTCAAAACAACTTTTTTGCCTTTCTTGCACAAAAATTAGTTTGTATACATGCTTAATTATTGGGTTTGAAACAACTTTTTATTCTGCAGTAGAATATAATAAATTATCTTGCAAAAAATAATGCAGATAAAAAATTTAATAGGATAAAAACTAGTAAAAATTAAATTTTGGCAGCATTAAATAGTAAATGTTTATTCTAAGCTAACTTTTACCTATGGAATAGGAAAATTTACTTAAGTTCAACTGTTCAGTGATTTATTTACATACATATATATGTGTGATTATTTATACTTTCGCAAGTTCATAAGAGCAGCTATATATAACAACAGGAATTAGTTTACTTCATATTTTATTGTTTAGGTTGTATACATTTTTCTTTGACATATAATTTAGATATTGAAGGTTCTCTCTTCTATAATTATTTTCCTATACTAAAGAATTCTTTTCATATTAATAAAGTAGTTTGTAAATTTAAGTTGTGAATGGGGGACAATTGATTGGAATATTAAATTATATTAAAATATCAATAAACATTTTAAGATTCTTTTGTATAAAGGTTGTGTTACATTTTATTCTCTTGGTAACTTTTGAATGAATAGGTTTTTATAGACATGATTGGCAGCATAAATCAATCTCATTGACATAAAGTACATATAAAGGAAAAACAAAAAAATAATTTAAATAATAATAAATTATTCAAATATATATTTATCTGTATATTGTCTTTATTTGTGAATTTAATCAGAATCTAAACAAAATAACAAGTAAAGACTTAAAAAGAAAAGAATATTTTAAATTCCATTTTGAAGCCTGAATTGATACTGCAGATTTTTTCAGGCATCTTCCTTGGCAAATAATGGTAGATATCTTTAATGTGTTGACTCATATTCTAGAGATAAAAATTGAATCAATTAAAATTTTTTAATCATTTAAAAAAAAAAAATAGAATTGATTTTTTTTTTTTTTCCCTTGGTGAAATTTACTAGAATTTATAATTCCAGAACATGAGTAAATAAATGTTGAATTATTTGAATATATTATTTGATTTAAATGATTCTGTGACAATAATGATTAATAAAGGTTGATGGATCCCAGAAAATTTGTTAACACAAAAACAAAAAATATTTTAAAGACAATGATTCCTTAAAAAAAAAAAATGTCCATTTTGATATAGTTGCTTGCCAATCGTAATTGAAAAACAAGAAACCTTTATTTGAATGTTATAATTTTACAATTTCTTTTTCTAAAATGCTACCCCCCTTCTCTCATATATATATATATATATATATGCACACAAATATGTTGATTCTATAACTAAACATATATGACTGCATGTAACTATTTGTTTACTTGTTAATATGCCTTGTTACAAGTTAGGAAAATAAAAATATCTGTACATACATACACACACACATATATTTCAGTTAACCATTTCTGTGTTTTATTTTTTTGCTTTAGCATATAAAATAAAAGAAGATGCATGCAGGGCTCAATATGAATTTTTTTCTATGTGTTTTAGCATTAATGTTAAAGTTGTAATTTTAATAGATTCCCCATTACTGTTGTTCATATTCTTTAAAAACTAAAGACTGAAAAACAAATGTTGGGAAATGTTAGATCTATTTTTATTAAAACTTGATTGAAAAGAATAAAATTAGTTTTTCATTTAAAAATATGTACTTTAACAAGAAACGTTTATGAATATTGTTACTTAATATATTATATTTTTATTTGTCTTGAACTGTTATAAACTATTTAGGACCATTGTGTGATACTGTTTCTCTTGACCATTTATTCTAGTAATATAATTGACTTTAGTAAAAGCCTTTAGCCATTATATAGTTTGTTTTTACTATAAAGCTGGTTTCACTTATAGTTCATGCAGTAATTGCATACTTGAAATATGGATCAACATTGAA